CTGGTGAAAGTGGACATCCTTGTCTTGTTCCCGATCTTAGTGGAAAAGATTTTAGCTTTTGCCCATTGAGTATGATATTGGCTGTAGGTCTCTCATATATGGCCTTTATTATATTAAGGAATGCTCCCTCTATTCCCACTTTGCTGAGTGTTTTTATCATAAATGGGTGTTGTACCTTATCAAAAGGTTTTTCCATGTGTATTGATATGATCATGTGGTTTCTGTCTTTGCTTTTGTTCAGCAGGTTTTTCCATGTGTATTGATATGATCATGTGGTTTTTGTCTTTGCTTTTGTTTATGTGATGAATTACATTTACTGATTTGCGAATGTTGAACCATCCTTGCATCCCTGGGATGAATCCCACTTGGTCATGGTGTATAATCTTTTGGATATATTGTTGGATGCGATTTGCCAGTATTCAACTGTATTACAAGGCCACTGTAATCAAAACAGCCTGGTACTGGCATAAAAATAGGCACATAGACCAATGGAACAGAACAGAGAGCCCAGAAATAAACCCAACTCTCTACAGTCAATTAATATTCGACAAAGGGGACAGTAACATAAAATGGAGTAAAGATAGCCTCTTCAACAAATGGTGTTGGGAGAACTGGACAGCTACGTGCAAAAAAATGAAACTTGAGCACCAACTTACACCATACACCAAAATAAATTCAAGGTGGATAAAAGACTTAAATATAAGCCGTGACACCATTAAAGTCCTAGAGGAGAACATCGGCAAGAAAATCTCAGATATTCCACGCAGCAACATTTTTACTGATATGTCCCCTAGAGCAAGGAATATAAAGGAAAGAATAAACAAATGGGATCTCATCAAAATAAAAACTTCTGCATGGCTAAAGAAAACAGTATTAAATTAAAAAGACAACCAACTGTATGGGAAAACATATTTGCCAATGATACCTCAGACAAAGGTTTAATCTCCAAAATATACAAAGAACTTACACGACTCCACTCTAAGAAGACACCCAACCCAATTAAAAAATGGGAAAAGGACTTGAACAGACACTTCTCCAAGGAGGACATACAGAATATCCAGAGACACATGAAGAGATGCTCAATATCATTAGCTATCAGAGAGATGCAAATTAAAACCACAATGAGATACCACTTTACACCAGTAAGGATGGCTATCATAAACAAAGCAACAAACAACAAATGTTAGAGAGGTTGTGGGGAATAAGGGGTCCTTAGTTCACTGTTGGTGGGATTGCAGACTGGTACAACCATTACGGAAAACAGTATGGAATTTTCTCAGAAAAAGAAAAATCGACCTGCCTTTTGACCCAGCAATTCCATTGCTAGGATTATATCCTAAGAATCCTAAAACATCAATATCAAAGAACCTATGCACCACAATGTTCACAGCAGCACAATTTACAATAGCCAAGAGCTGGAAGCAACCTAGGTGCCCATCAGTAAATGAATGGATCAAAAAACTGTGGTACATATAAACAATGAAATTCTATGCAGCAGAAAGAAGGAGCTACTACCCTTTGCAACAACATGGATGGAACTGGAAAGCATTATGCTGAGTGAAATAGGCCAGGTGTTGAAAGACAAATACCATATGATCTCACCTTTAACAGGAAGCTAAACAACAAAACAAACAAGCAAGCAGAATAAAAACATAGACACTGGGACTTCCGCCAAGATGGAGGTATAGGTGGATGTGCCGTGCCTTCTCACACAAAGTTTAGGGACAACTAAATATTAGCAACACAAAACACAGCCAGAACACGAAAAATTGAACTTTTCGGAAGTCCGTTAACAACAAATTCTGCAGCCTGACCGGTAAGGGGCGAAACCAGCGGCTGGTGGAGCGGGATTGCACAGGAGGACTCGGTCAGACGGGCTCAGGCGCGGAATCCAGAAGCAGAATCCAGGTGCAGGGTTGGACCTAGTGAGCGACCGAGCGAGTGACCAGGTGAGCGACCGTGGAGGAGACAGCGGGGAAGCGGTGCTGCGTGTTGACTGGGGTCGCCTATTTGTGCGAGAGCGGACAGGCGAGGGGGTGGGCGGTTCGACTGGGGCCGGGGTCCCTGCGGCAAGCGGCTATAGAGGGCGGCGCCATTTCCCGCTCTGACCACGCCCCCACATACAGCGTCACAACCCAGCGACCTGGGAGTCCAAGAGGCCGCTTCTCACACTTAAAGGGCCAGAACAGACCAAAAATGTCGCAGGAAGACCTCAAAATCCCTGAGATAGACCTAAGCGACGAAGAAATAGCAAAACTCTCAGACGCACAGTTTAAAACACTGGTCATCAGGATCCTCACAGAACTGGTTGATTACAGCCACAAATTAGAGAAACATATGAAGGCGAAACTAATTGAAATGAACGGAATTGCACAGGAAACCAATAGCGATGAAAAGGAAACTGGGACTCAAATCAATGGAGTGGACCAGAAGAAAGCAAATAATGGCCAAACAGAAAAGAGTCAGGAAGCAAGAATTCAAAGAAATGAGGAGAGTCTTAGGAACCTCCAGGACATCTTCAAACGCTCCAATATCCGAATTATAGGGGTACCAGAAAGGGGAAAGGCACAGCCACCAGTGGAAAACTTATTTGAACAAATAATAAAGGAAAATTTCCCCAATTTGGCAAAGGGAAATAGACTTCCAGGAAATCCAGGAAGCTCAGAGTACCAAAGAAGTTGGACCCAAGAAGGAACACACCAAGGCACATCATAATTACATTAGCCAAAATTAAAATGAAGGAGAGAATCCTAGAAGCAGCAAGAGCTAAGGGGACAGTCACCTACAAAGGAGTTCCCATCAGACTGTCAGCAGATTTCTCAAAAGAGACCTTACAGGCAAGAAGGGGCTGGAAAGAGGTACTCCAAGTCATGAAATCCAAAGACCTACAACCAAGATTGCTCTATCCAGCAAAACTTTCATTTAGAATGGAAGGACAGAGAGTTCATCATCACCAAGCCCTTATTATATGAAATGTTAAAGGGACTTATCTAAGAAAAAGAAGTTAAAGAAACATGAACAGTGAAAGGACAACAAACTCACAGTTATTAACAACCACACCTAAAACGAAAGCACACTAAAAGGACAGCTAGATCAGGAGTGGAAACATAGAAATGAAGATCTCAAGGAGGGTTACCAACAGGGGAGTGGGAGGAGGAGATAGGGGGAGAAGGTACAGAAAATAAGTAGCATAGACAGTAGAAAGAAAATAGATGGGGGGGGGGCAAGAATAGCATGGGAAATATAGAATCTAAAGGACTTGAGACACATGGTCATAAACTAAAGGGGGGTAATGGTGGGGATGGGGGGTAGGGTGGAGGGGAATGAAGGGGGGAATAGAACAACTGTAACAGCATAATCAATTAAAAAAATAAAAATAAAATAAAAAAAAACATAGACACTGAAATAGAGAAGGGGACAGTGACCAGAGGGGAGAGGGAAGGGAATTTAAGGGGGAAAAAGGGGAGGGATTTGGAAGAACAAGTATGAAGGACACATGGATGAGGGCTAGTGGGGGAGGAAATGGGAGGGAGGTGGGGAGCCCGGGGGGGGGGGGGGGCTGGGATGGGAAAAATAGACAAAAAAACTGTACTTGAAAAATAACTAAATAAAATTTTAAAAAAAGAAGTCTAGTCCTTAGGAACAGGACAACTCTGAATGATTACGTGCAATTATAAAAACTGATCCTTACTGGATGGGCTATATACAATTTTACCTTCCCCAGTAGCTTCGCCAGCATTATCATCTTACCAATTTGATGGTTTTCACTTGTACTCATTACCCTTGTTTTCACGTTTATTGCCTGTGTATCTGTTATGTACTCAGTGTTTGTGACCTCCCTGACAAACCCTAATCCCCAGTGTGAAAGTGTCAGGAGGGTGGAGCCCTCGTGAATAGGGATAGTCCCTTTATGAGAGAAGAAAGACCTTGTTTCCACTCTCTGCAAACCAGGAAGTGGAACTTCAATGGACAGGGGATCTGCCAGCACCTTGATCTTGGACTTCCCAGCCACAAGAACCAGGAGAAATGAGTAACTACTGTTTGAGTCGCCTAGTCGTTTGTTTTAGCAGCCCAAGCTAAGAGAGTATGCTTGTCCATTTCCTAATGAGGTGTTTTTTTTAACTGAATTACCTTTAAAAAAAATCCTCAGCTGAGGATTGTTTAATTTTAGATAAAGAGGAAGAAAAGAGAAACATGGATGTGAGAGAGAAACCTCATTGTTGCCTCCCCCATAAGCTTGACTGGGGATGGAACCCACCACCTGGGTATGTGCCCTGACCGGGAATCAAACCCTGTCTCTTGGTGTACAAGACAACGATGTTCCAACCAACTCAGCCACCCAGCCAGGGCCTGAATTACCTATTTTTTAATTTACTGAATTACTTTTTGCTTAACGTTCTCTTCCTGTTTGCCTTTTGAATTATGAAAACATACACATAGCAACCGTTTTTTAGAAATAAAGGTATTTTTTCACCTCAGTATTACATAGATATTTATCTATATTTTCTATTACTAGTACCATGGTTCAAATGCTCAAATTCAACTGTGGCGTCCTGATTGACATCTATAAACAGAAACCGAATTTTACTTTTCAAAGGGCAAACCAGTTATCCCTTGAAATGTCACTGTTATGAATAAACAGAGTAATTCATGGGTTTTCTTAATCTTCTGTTTTGTCCTATCGTAGCTGTGTTAATACATTACATGTGAGACAGGAAGTTCTTTCATGCTAAGTCTTTCCATCCTCATCTGTTCAATTTTAATTAGCTGCCCTATGAGAAACTTACTCCCTTCCTGTAACTGTGGAACTGACTTATACAGGAATTTTCTCTAAAAATTACTGAGGTTTCCAACCACCTGAGAACTACTCCTAGTTCTCAGCCAGCTGGAACGGAAGGAGGTGAAAATGACCTTGAAGACTTTCCAACTACTTGAACTTAGATTTTCTGCATATAATCCATACATCACTGAGGAATTTAAACAAATAACTCATAGGACAGTTTACCACAATTAACCTTTTATTTAAAAAAATTACAGGGAATGATTTCCAGCATATCGTATTTTATAAAAGTACTGCTTATATCAAACATGTTATATCACTATTAATTCCATTGAAGAGCTGCCTTTTTTAAGGTACCAATTCCAAATGATGGGACACTTGCCCTTAAAATTGAAAGTTCCCATTGTTTATTCAAATGTCAAAATTAAGATTATTGAGAAGTTTATTGCTTTATGGTTGGGCAAGATGCTACTAGCACATTAGGTAAATAATCCTTCAAAAACTATGAGGTCGTTCTGTTTAAAACTTTTAGGATAATTCACAGAAAATAGATAATATTTATTCAAATTACAGATTGAAGGGCGGGCTTATTATAGATACTTCTATGTGAAGCAGCTCTTTAAAGAAATAAGATGCACATATAGATCTGTCTGGTATAATACACATAATTGAAATTAATAAACCTGGAAGACCAATATTGTTACGCTACGTTTTGTTAGGATCTTTTTTTAAAAAATCACACATTTAGTAGTCCATTGTGCTTAAACTATTCATATGTGGGAAAAACTTAAAGAAAAACACCTCTGTACATGATGATGGGAAGGAAGTAATAAATTTTTTTGAAATTGCACTGTTATTTAAAACACGGTCCTCAAGTCAGACCCTCCTTGGCAGCTGGCAGTCTCTCGGGCCTAATTGGCAGCCTGGGGAGGCCCCTCGGGTATCAGCGAAGTAAAGAAGGTGGTGATGAAAGACCACGCGGACGCCATCAGCCCTGGCCTGTGGAGTGTGCCAGCATCTTCCCCTGCATCCTCTCCACTCTCGTCTTCAAGACCATCATCCATAAGGCGCTCCTTGCAAACAAAATGAGAAAGGGACTCCTAAGTGATTAAACAGCTAGCACTAATTCATGATAGAAAAGGAGAGAGGTAAGTACTTCCCTACAGTAAGATGGAATGTGAGAATGAAGTAAGAAAGTGGTACATAGCTGGTCATTAGAATGTCAAATCCAAAATTGATAAATTCCTTGGCATTTGAGTTCAAAGGGATAACTGCCAATTTAATAAAATAAATTCTCACCATGTGCCTAATTTTCTTTCTAGGCTATTTTAAGGAAGAATAACATTACTTCTTCCCATTTAATTCTAACATATGACTAAGTTCTCCAGGATGAAACCGCACAATTTACATGTTTACTTTCCTTCATGTGTTAATCCACAAACACGTATGGAACACCCTGAGATTCTTTTATCATGTTGGTCTCACACAGTGCTGAGGACACACCTGTATTTAAAGTACACCAAAACCTCATTTGCATACCATTTCTTCAAGTTCTAGGTTGTTTGCATCTTGCCCGTCATTAACTTCTGCATTATTGCGGGGAGCCTGCTGCTGGCCTACTTCTTGCCTGAAAGGAAACCATCCAGCTTGGTGCCTGTTTGGTAAAATAAAAAGAAGTTTCAAGTGTTTTTATTTGTAAAACTATGAAACATTAGCATCCCACAAGAGAAAAATGATTAGAACTATAATAAATGAAAAGACCATATCGCCTACTTTATGCCAAGAAATACCCCTCTCAAAGCAAGGGTAGCAAAATAGAAGTCATTTTCAGTCTAAAAGTCTATCATGGGCTTAACTGGCTCCACCCTAAATATTCAAACTTGTCAGGAGTCATAAAATCCTTCCTTCACTATTTTTCAAAATGAAATTCAAACAGGTATCTGTTTGTCTCTTGGGGAATCAGGAGGCAAGGCAAAATTATTCTACTATGAAGAAAAGAATCTGGCCTGTATTACAGAACTTACTACTGATAACTGTAATTAAAAAGAACATCTTTGTAGAAGAATGAATAGGCCCTGGCTGGGGAGCTCAGCTGGTTGGAGCATGGGCCTGATACACCAAGGCTGCAAGTTCAATTCCAGGTTGGGGCACATACAAGAGGCAACCATAGAATGCATAAATAAGTGAATGACAAACTGATGCTTCTCTAAAATAAAAAATAAAAAAAGAAAAAATCATCTACTTCCTGAAATTCTAAATAATTGATACAGCCCATCTTCCTGAATGAACAATTTTTATAAGCAACAATAAAATAAAAATGTACTTCTGGACAATTCTGATACATGTGCTCACTCAATATAACTGCCCTGCTTCTGACGCCAGACCTGTTTCACCCGACACCCGCAGGCCCTCACCCAGCACTCACGGCCACTGCCACACGCAAGTCTATGCGGGACAGTTTCCGAGAGTCACTAAGAGAAATGGGACGTTCACGAGCATCACTCACAAATACACCAGCAGCATGGCCCCCATCACCATGACGAAGCGACTGAAGGAAGAGTAGAAGTACACGATGCTGAGCAGGATGGCGGCGCGGGAGAACGTGTACATCCAGTCCAGCCAGTCCCGGTTGAAGTCCTCTTCGTTCAGCACCGGCCCTCCCTGCGCGTTCATCTGCACGTTCTCATTTATGGGCCGGTTCTCTTGAGCCACCAGGTTTGGCGCAGGCGGGGGCTCTTCACCAGGAACGTGTGCCAGGTTCAGAGACTGTGCAGGCACGGACTGGGCGGGGGTGGCGTCCAGTGTGGCCTGAGCCGAGACTGCAGCTTGACTGGAAGAGTCGTCAGAGTAAATGTTAGAAAGCAACACTCAGCCATACTACGGGGTGTTTCTCAAACCCTCCTGGGTAAGCCCATGTATCTTCCGCGAGCCTGCCATGGACGATCGCTGCCCCGCCCCCCATCTCATGGGCAAGCACCAACCTCGTGGGAGCAGGACCAAGACTGCAGTGCTCAGGCTGGCCAGAGAGGGAGAAGTGAGGGACAGAACAGCCACCTGACTCACTCTTTTCTCCCCCACACTGAACACACTAGGAGGCAGTGACCCGATCTCTCTTCCGACCTTCTCATTGATGGCCCCTTTTGTTCTTCTCCGTGGAATGAACCCCCACACCAGCCACCTGACCCTCCGACCCAGGCCGCCAAAGGTTTGTCTGACAATGTACACTAATCATCACTCTGTGTGTCCACCGTCTATGGTGCAGGATTTGGATTCGTATTTTAAGATATTAACTAGGTTCCAGGTCACGATCCCTCAACCCCGAAGCTGACTTCTGGGAACTCCATCTAGGGACCACTGGTCTAGATCCTTTGTCAAACTTACAAAGAATTGTGGTCCTGAAGTTTGCTTCTAATTGCTTGAAAATCAGAATAACTCTCTCCATGAAATGCCCCCAGTAAAATGGTAATACACCTAAATCTGCTTTCAGTTATCCAGCATGGGGGGGGGGCGGTTGTGCAACAAGACGGCCATGAGCTGGAAAGTGCTGAAGCTGGGGGTGAGCACACAGTGTCCACTTTGCTAGGCTAGCTTTTTGTATGTTCAGATTCTTGTATGATCGAAAGTTTAAAAACCAACATAGCAAAGTAAAATAAAACAGAAATTTCCTAAGCTATGAAAGCCTATTTAAGCCTTTATGCTAATACCTTGTTTTTGCATAGGGCTTGTTAGTTCCAAAATGCTTGCTACCTCATTAGATATTCTAATTCATGGGCAAGCTATTTCATGAAGTGTGAGAACTTGAGGCTCCAAAGGTAAATGATGTACATGAGATTAGATGATCTAGAAGCAATCTACAAATGAGCCCCACTTCCCTTACTCAGTTCTTGTCAGACAATGAGACGGGGGCGTAAACATCTAGTAGGGTACTAAGCACAAAGCAGCCACTCAAATGGTAACTATGGTATTACCAAGGCAGGAGCTAGAGCTAAGGTGCAAACAGCCTGCCTGGGGTTATGCGAGAGAACGATTAGAATATGAGGTTCATAAAGCAGGTCAGCTCTGCAGGACACATCTGAAGGAGAGATAAGGACACGGATTTCACGCTGCAGCAACAGCAGTCAGACACTTGGGGGTGGAATGAGGAATGACTGACTAGACTACACATTAAGCAAGTTAACGGGCAGTAGTCGAATGAAATACAGTCAAGAGCCCCAAGGGAGAAAAAGCAATGTCAATAAAGTGGGTCTAAAATGAGAAAAGATCTGGGTGATAAATGGGAAGTAAGATATAGGGGAAGGACGAAGGCCAGAAATGACACAGCAGCTCACCCTGGCCATTTGCTGGGTTCAGGGACAACAGAAGTCAGCATGAAGCTGGTTAAGAGTGTGGAGAATGACAGAAGAGACAGTGTCACTGACAGGAGTCAGGCAGGACAGTGCCCTTCAGAGGCCGGTGGAGTCAGATTTTGAACACAATGAACTTAGGGAAAGGCCAACTGCCCTGCAGACACTCCTAGCGACTCGGTGGAGACACAGGATGAGGCCAGGAGAAGAAGAGCTGAACGCCACCACAGGGAGCTAACAGCAAGGCCCCAGGAGAAAGCACTGCAAGGGGACAGCCCACACCAACTAGTGCTCCTGCACCCCCCCCACCCACACTGAGCATCACAAGGCACATGGTAAGCACATGGATATATCTAACTGTGCAAGGTGTGCTACCATTTAGAGCAGTGGCCCCCAACCATTTTAGCACCAGGGACCAGTTTCCTGGGAGACAGTTTTTCCTCAGAACAAGGCGGGGCGGGCTGTGAGAACAGGAGGCAGAGCTCAGGCAGTAACACACAGAAGCTTGCAGCTTCTTCGCAGCTCATCTGCCACTCACCCTCTATTGTGCGGCCTGGTTCCTAACAGGCCACTGACCGGTACTGGGGGGGGGCCCTGATTTGGAGGGCTGTCCAAGGACACAAAAGGAGTGATAAAAAGGACGAAGTGGATAACTAATCAGAGATGTAAGAGAGGAGGACACTAAAGAGAAGCCAGAAATGTCGAAGGAAAGCACAGGAAGTCCGGCAGGGGCACGCTGAGACAGTGACCGGCGGCGAGGCCTCTCAAGAATGCTGACCGCACAGGAATGCATTTGCCACCACTGAGTCCTACAGAGATATGAGCCTCCTTGACATGTGATTCTTTCTATTTCTTTTTACTCAACGCCCAGTCTCTTCATGGAGATCTGCTGCCTTCCAGTGCAACTTTCCTACGTTTTCTCCTCTTAAATACATAAAACATTATATTAAAGCATCTCAATATAATGAGAGGTGAAAGGGAGAAGTAGAGAAAGACTTAGTTGCTATGAACCATTTTTCCTTTAGCCAAATGATTTTTTAAAAAGAATCTGCTAAGATGCCTGTGAACGCCCTCATAAAAATTATTTTTTTTTAAAGATACTACTTTATTTTTAGAGAGAGGAAAGGGAGGGAGACAGAGAGGGAGAGAAATATTGGTGTGCAAGAGAAACAATGTCCATCAGTTGGTTGCCTCTCTCACACCCTCAACTGGGGACCTGGCCCGCAACCCAGGCATGTGCCCTGACTGAGAATCAAACTGGTGACCTTATGGTTCACAGGCTAGCGCTCAAACCACTGAGCCACATCAACCAGAGAAATAATAGTCATGTTTAAAAGCTAATGAACCACATCAGTAAATGCAACCCCAAATTAAGTGACTTAGGATAAACACAGAAAATAAGGCGAACACCGCAGTGAGTGCAGGAGGCCCGGCATCCACTTACTATTGCATGTAGTACTGATGCGCATACATCTGCTGCCACCACAGCACCTGCAGTGGGCTGAGCGCAGGGTACACGGGGAATCCGGCCACCAGGGCTTGTCCGGGAAGCTGGTTGTCTACATTTCTGCCACAACAAGGTAAAAAGCATGTCTTTCAGTGCTCTAGAAGTGGAAAGCATTTCTCTAAACTTTAATTTCTGGACTACAAGTCAGTCATCCTGCTGAACCGGAACCTGCAACCTAACAATATCCCCAGGTGATTAGCACAGACATTAAAAACTGAACAGCACTGCCCTGGACGGTTCTGATGTACGAGCGGCTTTCAAAAGCAGTGCTCGACTGAGCCCTCTGTTCTCAAGACATGTGGTCAAGTAGGGGGTAGTTCTGGAATGTGCCTGGACCCCTGCAGAGGGCTCCCAGAGCAGTCAGGAGGAAGAGCACGGAGGAGGCCCCCAGTTCCCGCTCACCCCTGCACGACGTACGGGAACCGGTGACTCTGGGCCGGGTCGGTCTGCACTTGTGGAAGGATGCGCTGCCTCAGCCCTTCCGAGGGGGCGCTGACAGCTAGTGGCAAAGTCTCCGCACTGGACGGTGGAGTTGTTGATCCTGACTGATCTGGACTCTACAAACAGAAATGCAATTGCTTTTTCAAGAAGATTGAATTCATTACCATCACGAGATTTCACACACATTGCTAAATAGGTGTTTATGAAATAAATCCCTCTGCAAAGAGTGAATTTTAAGAATTTACTAATTTGAATCTTGAGATACTTTAATTCTGATGAGGCTGAAGACTTCAGAAAAATCAAAATTGCTTCATTATACAACAGTTTATCAACTAGAAAAGGCTAAGTAGTGGAGTAACTGTATACAAAAAAAGCATACAAAATCGTGAGATTAAGTTAATACATGCAAAGCTCTTTTCACAATGCCTAGAACACACAAAGTGCTTAGTAATGGTACCAATTTCTGTGTGATTTAAACAGTTACTATGTGCCGGGTACAGTGTAACATGCAATTAGTAACACACTGGTTTAAAGGTGTGAGGAACATGCTAGAAATCAGATCTGGTGTTATCTCTGACATTAACAAGGAACATAACCTTAAAATTTCACTTAACCTCCGAGTCTCGGCTTTCCTACAAAAAAATAAGATTGAACTAGGTTTTCAAGATTCCTTTTACTTCTAAATTTGTCAGTTTATAGATACCACCAACAAATAGGGTTTTTTTTTTGATGAACAAGATACCAGTCAGAATTTTAAAATTCTCACACTCCAATGATTTCAGTAACTCACCCGACCCAACTACCTTAAACAATACAGCCCCCCGAAAAGCACCCCAATTTGCTGCCATCTGAAAACAGTTTATCAAGGGTCTAGATTTAAAATACAATTATATCCTATACAAATTATAGCTCTCCCACTGGGTACAACGTGCCCTGAACGCCCTCCAGGTTTGCTGGAACTGCCTCTCCCTGCACCGCCCCCCAGGAAGCGGCTGCTTTTCCACGTGTCCACCTTCCCACATCCAGGCCTGTGGGAGGTCCCAAGACATTTGTCTTTTCCAAAACTAACAGCAGCTTTCTCTAAGACATTACTTCACACAAAACAGGTACCAAGTATCTGACCAGGGAGTCTGATTCTTAGGGACATGAATTTGGAAAGGCCTCTTTTTTAGCAAGATTTCTCATTAAATGGACCATGAAAAGGTAGTTAATCAAAAATTAAAGAAAGGCCTAGTCATTTGGCAGCCCAGGCTAGTTTCTCTGGATTTCTGACCTTATTAGATAACTCTCTTGTGACTAAATTTCTAAGACATTTTCCAATCCCACTGAAATTTCTGTAATAAAACATTAAGGGGAGTTCAACTTCTTTTTCTTTTGACACGTTTAGATTTTCGTAACGCACCCTGAAAAACTGAATGTATATACTAATGACAGGAAATTGTGGCCGAGGAACCATGGGACAAGTCAGAGGATTCTTTCTCAACAAAAACTGAGGCAACACAACTTGCCCAAAGATTACACACGGAATGCCAGGCCAATGCCTATGTTCTGCCTCTTCCTGTGCAAGGCAGGGACAGGTCAAGGCCGTTGGCCTTACCGACAAAACACACTTCAGTTTAACCTGGGCTGAGTTTCCCTGACTGGTACTCGAGAACACTGCCCACTGAGGCTATACACAATAAACACAGCAACTAGAGGATCTAGTTCTTAAAGAAGCCACTACTTAGTATCTGCTGGAAGCGCTATCAACTAGTTATCTCCACTCAGCCCCCTCCTTTAAGTTCTGGCTAGATCCTTACTAAGAACTGTCTTTCACCTCCAAACGTATCATATAAAGCTTTTACTGGAAACCAAAAATAATTTAATGTAAAAGGCCTTGGAACAGTGTCTTTAAAACTTGTAGAGAACATCTAAGTTGAAAAGTTTTAACTAGTAAGAAGAACTTCCAAAACAATTTTAAGTAAATGAAAAAATAAGGCAGAAGAAATGAATACCCAAGTCTGGAAGAGCTGAGTGAGCAGGTTTGGTCATTTTTCCTCCAGCAGTTGGAATGTATGCTAAATGCAGTCATTTCAGAACATAAAATTCGTGACCAAGCAATCTACTTAGACGATTAGCACGCTGAAAACTCAAATAACTTAATCCACCTTGAATAAAATATACTAAACACCTTAAATATTTGTGAAATTTTACTGGCCTTAGAGGTTATATTATATAACCAGGTTGTAATTCTGTTTCCTTAGTGTTTCAGTAACTAAACCCCTGAAGACTGGATCTATTACTGACCCACATACAGTAAATTATAACTCCCAGGGAACAGGCTTCAAGGGACAGCACTGTATATTAGATTTCAAAAACAAAGTTTGAATGCCTAAATCAAGCCATTCAAATCACAATCTCACAACCCACAAGCTCCGACTGTTCTGTTTTTTCACTTAGTTTTTCGAGGCAAAATAAGGATCATCAGGAGACGCCCACACGCCCTCCTCCCGTGCGGACTCACAGAACTGCTGCTGCTGGACGCCAGCCCCTCGTGACCTTCTGTGCTGGCACTGGAGTCGGGAGAGCTGGGAGGAGTCCGGGAAGTGCACACGAGATGGACCATGTGATACTCGTCTTGCTAAAACCGAAGAAGAGCGCACTGAAAGGGCGGCACTGGGAAAGGTGCAGTTAAAACGTCAGCAGCAGCTTAGCTGAAATATACTCCACTCAGAACTTAAGTTCCCTTCTAGCAGAGCCATTTTCAGTAAGGAACTGCTGCCATTTGAAGGTAAATTTACCATTTTAGAATTTGGAACCCTTCTGAATTTAGTATTTTCTCCATGCTTAGAAAGTAAGTGGTCAGAATACTCAGTAACTGCTGGGTGAAGAAAATTATTGCTTTGTACACAAAGGAGTCTTGAAGCAAACAGTGCGCTGTTGAGTTGGGTCATGCCACCTACGATTTGAGCGTTAAAACACCCAGCACTTTAACATCAGCACTGCAACAGTCACGCTAGAGCTCAGACCCACAAACTCTAAGCAGTAAAGATATTTCCTTTACTTAGGACTTTGCAGCTATAACAAATAAGCTCATACAGTGTCACCATAATCTCATTTGCCTTGATTTTAACAAGGTGATATATAGTATATTTTTTCAAGTCAAAATTTATTTTATATTTAAATAAAGCATACATTTGAACTAAATTCTGTAAATATCTCATGTTTCCATAAACCTACAAACATGACTAAAAATATTCTAATAATAATTAGGATTGACATTCTAGCTTAGAGATTGATTACACGAGTACACCTATACTTAGGCACAAAGCAGGTAAATTAAGAGGGAGAAAGGAAAGAGAACAGAGGAGGACAGAGAAGAACACAGCATAGCTCAGCAACTTAAAAAGGGGGAAAACAGAGTATGAAAAAGGAAAGGGCACGGGAAGATAAGGAAGATGCCCAGTCATAAAAAAGAGAAACGACGCAAGTAGAAACAGCCTTTCTCAACTGCCAGCAGAAACCTAGAACTGTCCTGAATCCTGAGGAGGACCCCAGAAAGGCAGAAGTCGTCCCTACCCCTAAAGATGCTAATAACACTGTTAAAAGATGAGACTAGCGCGTTAGAGCACAATTAGAGAAATATGTATCACAGTCTTTTGCACAGAACTGAGAAGCACAAACCACAACTGCTTTATTTAGGAATTTAAAGAAAGAAGTGAATGGGGGTTACAACGAGAACAGGCATTTTCAGGGCTAGTGTGCCTAGTAAGGAAGATAGAAGGCACTCCTGGTTTACAATGTCCTCTTAGAAACCTAGTTTCAAAGGTTCTATGACTCAAATTAAGTCCTAGTATTCATTTTCATTCACCTTTGGAGAAAGCTTCTATAAGAGTTTATAACAAAACAAGTAAAGCTGATGGTAGCATTTTATTGAAAAAAAGGAATACAGTGACTTTAACAAAAACAGTTCTAAGATCTACTAAAAATGTAAACATATTATTCAAAATGTTTTATATAGGGGCCAACAGTCCTTTGACTGAGCATTTTAAGTCTTCTGGTCAGAAACTATTTCTGGCAGCAAGAATCTTTAAAAAAGTATCCATGTGCAAACCAGCTATCTTTGGGTTAAAATAATAAAATAAATATGTATTTCAAAGAGTACATAGCCATAATGTTTTTAATAATAAAAACACGGAGAACAATGAAAAGGCGAGGCACAGAGGGCTTTCAGGGCAGTGAAATTACCCTGTACGACACCGTAATGGTGACTGCATTTGTCCAAACCCACAGGAAGTGTAACACCAAGAGGAAGCCCTAAGTACCCACGGGTTTCAGGTGACGGTGATGTGTCCGTGACGCAGGCTCATCAACTGTACCAAATGTACACTCTACATGAAGTGCTGGTAGTGGGGGAGCCTGTGCCTTGGAGGCGGGGGACGTATGTGAAATCTCTACCTCCGCTCAACCTAAAACTGCTCTGAAAAATTAAGCCTATCACAAAGGAGGAGGGGAACTGCTACAAATTTCATTATTTTTGAGGGAGAAAGAAGATATTAAACCATCCTGACAACCTGAAACTACATGATTAAAAAGAAAATGACAGCAAGAAGTCACAATGGCAAAGTTAAAATGTCCAACTATCTAAACAGAAAGAATATGTTGGTATAAGACTTCTTAAAGTTTCCCACAGGTAATCATAAAAAGTTGAGGAGAAAGATTTCCTAAATTGGATCAGGGATATCCAGAACGACATTAAGAGTTAAGTCAAGGGGGAGGGGAGTAGGTGGAGGTGAAAGAGGGTATAAGGGAGATAAATGGTAAAGAAAAAATCCGATAAAAAAAACTATAAAAAAACAAAAAAAGGCTTAAGTGAAAGATCTGAGCAAAAATATCAAAGCTGTATATTCAATTTTGCTACATTCACAAACAAAAAGCAGTATCGCAAATGCAGAAAAGTTATCAAAGTATAAATTCCACAAATAAAGGAGTTAAAAGCTGCCAGTTTAAAAAAAAAACCAACACTCCAGCTGATGGTCAAAAAACTCATTGAAATACATTTTCGCTCTAAGCACCAACATTCAAAGGTTGCTGACTGACGGACACCTGGGCTTCCTTGTTTCTTGCCCTGAAATTAACTCCTAACCCACACAACCTGTACTACAACATCGTGCAGCTTGGTCACAAGGAGAGACTGTGATCAGTGAAGATCCTCACCACACCCTGAACGCTCTTCTCCTGCACTCCTGGTAAGCTGGCAGTGTTTTCTTACACAAATGCCAAATGCCTGAAGACAAATATATAATCCTATTTCAGATTTAGCTCTCTGATAGATATGCAAAACTGCTACCTAAACTAACAAATCTATCACAATGTTCTTTACATTCTAGTTCACGTTAACCTATAATGCTGCCCAAGTGGGTTGATTTTGAGTATCTACAAACTGAACTGGCTGGATATCCATGGAATTTAGAACGACTCTGCTCTCACACTCTGACTGTGTCTGGTAGCGCATAGTGGTAGAAATCTGCTTACTTTTCTGAGAATGTCTTTCAGCTGCAGATGATCGGGAAGCAGTCTGCCCGAATACACCAACCTCTGATCCTTCGTCAACTGAGAAATGGGACAAAGAAGAGAATTCAACTTTTTCTAGTTATACAAAATAAAGGTTGGGAGTAACATGCCTAAATATGGGTAAACTCCCTTTAGGCACAAATAAGCAGAAATCAGACATAGTTTAAGAATTTTCTTTTTCCAAATTCCATTTAAGACATTAAGAACTCAGCAAATGGTAGCCTCTTTATTGTAGATACAATGAAATACGGATGATTACCAAATTTAAAAAAAAAAAACAGAAAACAGGTAAATTGAAAGTTTGTCTTTTCAGCCGTAATGCAATGCGTACCTGACTATCATTATAAATCTTCAAGCTATAAATGAGGAGGTGGCTGGCCTTCTGTTAAAAGTCAACAAGATAAAATTTAAAAGTCACCAGAGGTATTTGTATTATCAGTATTTTTCATCTAAAAGTATATGTAAGATTTACTTTTTCTTTACTAACATCATCCCAAACTTACCAGTTTTAATTCAGAAGGCATTTGAATTTAGTTATAGATGTAAATAAACTATTTAATAGATTTTATCATTCCTTCCACTCTCTCGAATAGCTTTGTACATTTTTTAAAAATATGAGACTAAAGAAAAATCAACTCAATTGCACGGAGATGCAGCTGTCCTCTCTATAAGCAACCCCAGCAGGAAATATGTCCTGGTTATCTCTGCTCTGTTTTGTATTTATAATAAATCTGCTAAGAGTTCCCACTACTGGCATTAAAGTGTTTACAATTAAAGCATTTATGTATAGTCCCTGTAAGAACTCCTATTTCATAATTGAGAAACAGGCAAATGTTCCTTAAAATCTAATGAAACAATTAGATAGTAGCTATATCAACAACTCTTACATATGTCAAATCCAAGCAAAACTGTAACAATTTTTAAATAGACTACATATTCAACATGGCTAGTAAAAGAGGACTTTATAGTAAAACAATCATAATAGAAACCATCACACTGAGTAAGATCTATGGTCCTCAGGTACCAAGCATCACAGGTTTTGGGTTAAGTATCATGATGAACTTGTAGAATTTTATATTTTATACTGTACTGCCATTTGTTTAAGTCCTCAAATGGTGTTCTCCCTCGTCAGCAGGAGTCCAGGTGGGCTCCTGTGTCATTTGGACATGACCTCTGCTGTCTCAGGAGGTCTCCTTTCTCTTAGGCACAGAATGGCCCAGGTGCATCAGCCCAGTGCCTTGGTTCCTTCTAGTGGGGACGCTGTCTGAAGACCAAAGTCTGGGGTCTGAGGGTACTTCACTGTTAGTTGTCGTTATTTCTAAGATTCTTCATTAAGGAAAGCTAGAAAATATACATTTTTTAGAAAGAGATACTTTAAAAGTTCATACCGATATTTCTGAATTAATAGAGCAGTATATGGTTTTTACTTATTTTTATATCTTCTCTTGCCTTGAAATTCTTGCTTACTAATGACATTAAAAAACATACGCCATTAGCAAACTTACTTGTATGTTTCATTCTATTATACACAAATCTCAAAATAAGAATAACAACATCGAGTGAAGTTTAAAATTTCTTGAGGCTTTCTACAGTCCTTATGTACATACCACTAGAAATACATAGTTAAAGTGCTATTTCAAATTACTTGGGATAATTTCTCTTGCAGTTATATCGCCATCCTGACAGTAAATCATTAAATTATTGTGTTACCATGTAGGAATTACTTTCCCTATTTAACTTCTTAAATTATATGGCAACAGAGTAAAAATTATACAATGACACCCATTTGAAGGGGTATAGTTTCTGCCCCTGTTCCCCACTCCCTCATTCTGAATTACCCTTCCATTGTTTCTCTTTGCCACCACCACAGATCTGAACACAGACACCAATACTGTCTTCTCTTCACACATGAAAAGCAATCCACTATACCCACTCTTTTCTGCCTCGTTCCCTCACTTTATATGCCCTGGAGATTACGCATGAGCAGTGTCAGGATGTCTTCCCCATTCTTTTTGATGGGTGAGTAAGGCTCCTTTATACAGAAGTACCAGTTTACGGATAGACATTTGAGTATTTCCAGGCTTCTGTCATCACTCACAGTCCTTCTCTCACTCTATTCTGTGTACTTCTGTACTCCCTCTGAGTATTCTGCAGTGTGGAGACCCCTACTGACCTTGATAAAGCAATCTTGGTGGACAGTAGGGTAAAAATTTAACTGGAATGGATGTTAGAGAAAAGGAGAGGAGTATAGTTAGAGATAGTAAATATATACAACTTATAAGGAGGTTTGCACTAAGGACAAGGAAAGAAATAGAGCAATAGCTAGAAGGAAAGTGGAATCAAAAGAGGGTCTGGACCATGGCCAGTGTGGTACAGTTGGAGGGTCATCCGATACACCAAGAGGTTGCAGGTTCAATTCCCGGTCAGGGTACCTACCTAGGTTGTGGGTTCAGTCCTGGTCTGGGCACGTACAGAAGGTAACTGATCGATGTTTGTCTCACATCTATGCTCCTCTCTCTCTAGAATCAATAAATATATATCCTCAAAACAAAAGGGTCTGGTCTTATTTGTTTTACTGCTTTGTGTTTTTGTTTTGTTTTTTTAAGAACAGAAGAATAACATGTTTATATGCCAATATGAATAATCTAGTATAATACAAAAAAAACTAATGATGGAGAGAAAAACAACTTAAAAAGCACCACTTGAGTAGCTAACCAAGGGGGAGGTGGTACTGGACTTACAGATCAACACAGCAGAGACAGATGAAGAATATTAGGAAACTTGTACAAGATGCCACTACCACCACTCTGTGCCTCAGTTTTCCTATCTGTAAAATGAGGACAATAACAGTATCTATTTCACAGAAAATGCACATAAATCTCTTAGAATAGAGTCCAATACCCTCCTAAAAAATACATACAACAGAAACCAGGGTGGGCCGAGAGGGGGAGACACGGAACCCTCAGACACTGGCGGTGGGAATGCTCTCGGAGCGCCTTTGTGGGGAAGTCTGGCGCCTCCTCAGGAAGTTGGACAGAGTTACCGTATGACTCAGTGTATACCCAAATCCACACAAAACCTGTTCGAGAGTGTTCCTAGTGGCATTATTCATAATACCAAAAGGCCGGAACAACCATTAATTGGTAAGTGAATAAACAAAATATGATAAATATGTACCACGCAGCATTACTGGTCCGTAAAAAGCAATGAAGAAGTGATATACATCATAACATGGATGAACCCTATAAACACTATAGGAAGTCAGACACAAAAGGCCACAAATTTACTACAATTCCATTTACATAAAATTTCCCAAACAGGCAAAATCTTGAGACGAAAAGTAGATTAGTGGCTACCAGGGACTGGGGGAGCAGAGACTGGAAAGTGACCACTTGCCGTCATGGTGTTTCTCTTTAGGGTGATAAAAATGTCCTAAAATTGGACAGTGGTGACAAGTGGGCAACTTCATGAACTACCGAAAGCCACTGAGAGTTGTACAAGTTAAAGGGCAAGTTTTACAGTATATAAATTACACCTCAATAAAATATAATGTTGCCTTAAACTGAATATTCCTCAGATATGCATAAGTTTTAAAAGGAAAAGGAATTAATTTTACTGTGATTGAAAATAGAGAAAAAATTTTCATGTGACTAAATTAGGTAAGAAGATTTGAAAATTGTTCTATGTCAACTAAAAAAATTATTTCTTTCATTTAAATATTATATACTTTAAATATCTGAAAAACCAGTGGTTAGATATGACAGCAAATAACAATAATCAAATGAATTTTTATCTAGTTATTTTAGATTATATGTATTAGGAAAAGTATAGATTTTGAGATCTCAATTCAAATTAAATTTTACTTGTAAAGTGGCAGTTTTACTCCTGCAGACCTGCTAACACTGTCCTTTACCGTAACTGAAAACCCATTTGTGTTGGGCAGGGTAAGTGACGCTAGCTGCTATAGCAAGTCCCAAGATCTTAGCAGCTTAACAAACAAGAGTTCATTTTTCTCTCAATAAGCAAAAAAAGATTGCATGGCACCTTTTAAACATAAGAATTTAGCCCTGGCTGGTGTGGCTCAGTGGACCTGTGAACCGAAGGTCGCTGGTTGGATTCCCAGTCAAGGCATATGTCTGGGTTGTGGGCCAGGTCCCCAGTAGGAGGCACAAGAGGCAACCACATAGTGATGTTTCTTTCCCTCTTGCTCCCTTTCCCTCTCTCTAAAAATAAATAAAATCTTTAACATAAATAAATAAATATAAAAGTTCAGAATAATTCATAAGTCTAAAATCAAGGACTAATTAAACTATCAGTTACATAGTTTGCTGTTAAGCGACTGGCTGCACAGACTGACATACAAATATACTTGGCTATATCTGCTAAGAGCATCACCATTCTTCCTGTTGCTTACATGCCGCATCAAGCAGCCAGCAAATCCCCACAGGTATAGCACCACCTCGGCCGGCCCCACTCCATCCCAGACAAAGCCTGGTGACGTGTGGTACAGCAGAGGCGGCTGAATGACCAGGCTGGACACATCCTGATGCTACTCTGAGTGGCCCAGAGACAGAACTCTACCACTCCAATCAAACAGCTGCCTAACCAGCTGACCGGAAACACTCCGCTACCCACTGCACAGACATGGCCAAAAACCAAGGAGAGGAGAGCTCATCTACTAGTATGACATGCACAAATCAAACAACAACTGGTGGGAGATTCTTTTTCTTTCTAAAAGCTTTATACATATTATTACCTAAACAGACATTTAATCAGGTATCAAAAGCAGATACAGTATTATGCATCCCTAATGTATTTTAAATATTCATTAAGAGTCTGGCAGTTGAGTTTTACAAAGCCAACAATACTTCATATTTCTAGAAGTCATCTAGTTGGTATCAAAAGATTGAACTTTTGTATGTGAAGAACTAAATGGGTCTCTTATAACGACATAGGGCTCAAAAAAGCATGTTCTTAGGATATCCAACTTTGACATTACCAAATACCTCAGTAAAAGCAATCTATAACTTACATGTTAGTTCAAAGAACTATGACCCAAGTCCTTCGAAAGTAGTAACTATTAACATTGAAGTACTTACATATAACTGTCAAATCAAAGAGCTTTAAAGAGCTGTTCCCCAGACGTGCACAGAACATGCTTTCTGTGGGAAACGGATTCTGTGGATTTGTGCTGGAACACATCTCACACTCCCACTAAACGCAGCGCACCCAAAGCCCCAGGAAATCCAGAAACACTGGAAACAGAAGTGCAGTTTACTCAAGCTGTCTCTACCCCTTATCTCCTTGCAACAACTGTAAGCAAAACCAGCACCCAGAGCTTAAAGAACTTCCTCCAGAACTCCAAGGGGACAGTCCCTGCTGAGCTGTCTGCACTGACAGGCCATTCGCAAATCAGGTAGACGCAGAACAGAGCGTGCGAAAATACAGGGCTGCTCTGGGTCACACGAAGCAGCAGGGATGTGACAAGACAGGGAAAAGCAATGTGCTTTGAGTCTTAAGATACTACACTCCATATCTTCCCTATAATTTATCAAAATAAGCAGCGATAACTTCACACTAAGTTGATATTCATCAGAACAATATTAAGGCTACATTATCCATTCATCTGCAGCTGTTAGATGGCAATCCATGTAAACAGACACCTCTTTTTGTAGTTCTTATAATTTGGAAGTATACAACTAAGATGGCCAAGGTCCTAAAGGAATTGTAAGGGTTAAGCGCCTTAGGCTTGCCAGTCATACAAACCTGGGTTTCAATTCCAGTGCAACATTAGCTCTGAGAAAAGTTTTAAAAAGCTCTCACCTTGTCTGCTTAAAACTGTTATCTAAGGAAAATATCCCTGTGAACCTTTTCTTAAAACAAATCCCCATTCCCTTACCCCAGACTCCAGAGCGCACCACCCCCCTCCCCTGTGCGTCTGTGGCACTCAGTGCAGCCCTCTGCACAGCACTAGTCCCATCATGTCGGTTATTTACTTTCATGTCTCCACCCCCCACTGGACTTGAGCTTCAGCAAAGGACTCTTACCGTCACCTTCGTGCTTAGCATATGGACATTCGAATGCCAGGTCAACAAAATCCAAATTAAATAAATAAATGAAGCCCAGGAAAGTGTGCTTGCAGTGGGGGTAGGGGGAGTATATCTGTTCTGAGTTTACTGAGGGAGGGGGAGCTGAATTTAAAATATCCATGTGGAGACTGTCTGTGATTTAAGTCAATATCTTACCTCACAACTAGACCTTAGGATTTCACACACTGTTGCCAAAACCGGTTAACAGCATGTAAACACATGATCTATTCTTGCAGAGATAAAAGGACAACTTCAAGTCTCCATTCTTCTCCCTCTAGCAATTCCCACTTAACTTCCCTAGAGCCACTGCCCACAGGGACCGACGGCCCCTGCCCTCGGCCAGCCAGGACCTCAGATACAGGTAGGAGCAGCGCAGCCCAGAGCTGCCACCTTTTCTCACTTTGTTTCCGAGCCCTCCCACCCTGACCCCCAGATGTGCAAGGAACCAGGCATCAGAAGTGGTCTCTCTTAAATACCAACACAGTGCTTGAGACACTTAAACGCAGAATAATGTTAAGTAGTTGTTGTGGGTGGTCCTAAGAACGTAAACGTCCTGTATAAATGTTATTTTGTTAGTCATGTAACACTGCTTAGGTTGCAAAATGTTTTCTGTTCCAATTAACAACCTTACAAAGACAACTGGTAGGACTCCAATTTCTGTATCAGGACCACCTGTGGCTGTGGGGCATCACTAAACAGCTGGTCTGCTTGACAACTGTGCTGTGGTAAGTCAGAATGTAAGCCTGTCAAAATGAAGCACCATAAAAAGTTTTCAGTAAAGTTCTATGAAAATAAACATGTGTGCCCTGTCCCTGGGCCTGCCCACTCTCATTAACCTACAAGTAACCTTCACTTGGAAACTTGCTGGAGGAGGAAAAAGACCAAGTTTGCCATGGAGTTGGGTAGTCAGGTAATTAAAGCCCGAAACACACACTGTTTGTACAGCCTGCAAACCGTCTGCAGTGTGTACAGACAGCAGGCAGGGTAGGAGGGGTGGGGTGTAAAGAAGTCTGCAACTGATCTGTCCCCAGAAGCCTGTGACCCACAGCACTGCCAGCCCTGCAGTGCCATTACCGGTGCAGATAAGGGCTGTGGTTCCCCCACCCTAATGGAGATTAGTGCCATTACGGGTGCAGATAAGGCTCGAAGGTTTCACTCCCCTCTCCGAGTTTTTACAAAATGAGAAAGTTTTAGAAAAGTGTAACTCTTGGTCTATCACAATGTAAACCGAGTCCCTTTGGTTTAATCGTGTCATGTGAAGATCCTCACATGAGTGTGCCCTGGAGTGCACACACTGAGACGGGCACCGCTTAGGAATGGCATCGCACTGTTACGAGGCTTTAAACTCTGATTATCCTGAAAAGCCATTTTCCACTTCTAAACTGTACCAAACCAATCATATGCAATAGGAAATCTTTTGTAAAGCAGACAATTTTAAAACAAATTGTTACCCCCTGTGTAAACTTTAACTTTCAAACAAAAGACTTGAATAAATGAGAGTTCCAGCTGGCTTGTTTCAAGTACGTAAATACCTGAGAGCTTTTATTTCCTCTACTAAAAATGTTTATACCACAAGGTACTGACAAACACAGCTAATGTCAACTAAGGACCGTTTTTCTAAAACTATTTTTGCAATAACTGTAGTATTCCTGTAGTTATTCTAGAAATCTAAACAAACTAAACTTAATACTGCACCACTAAAACAGTCCTAATTCATCAATACCCAAATTTAGATCAAACGCCTTCTTTACTTATCAGGACTTTTTAATTATCAACGATGCCCTTTCCAATCTACCTCCAGGGACAGATGGAGCTGTACTCTTTGTATTTTATTTATTAGCTTTGCAATATCCCAGTATGATTCAGAATGGAAAACACTGCCACATTGACTTACAAATGGTCATATGAAAGGAATAAAAAGATGTACCAAATGGTAGGGGGGTCGAAGGACTGTTCTCTTCTAAATTAGTGAAAGTTCTGTGTCCTGTACAAGAGAAAAATGAGGGAGGGAGGGGCAGAGGAAAGTGAATCTAAAACTCACTAATCTTTGCTTCTTAAAATACTAATCTTCAAAGTGTAATTTTATAGGGGTACATATTTGTTTCCAAGAAAAAATTGCTCTTCAACAGTAAGCAAAATTCTGGGTCACGGGGTGAAAGTAAAAAGAAATTTTAGTTGAATAATCAATAAAAGCTTTCCTATGAACTGTAATGTTTCTCTCTCTGTGTTTTTAAGGATATAACGGTCATCCTATATAAGATTGATGACTTTAAGTCCAAGGAAAACGGTCTTCTTTTTTTCATGCCTGGCAGTTCTTATGTCCCTCGATATTTCTGTGCACTTACTAATTAACTGAACCTCATCAAGAAGATATTAATGGCTCAGCCACTCAAGACACACACGCGCGCGCAACTTCAGAACTCAAAATACTTCGCAATCTACCAAGAGGTCTGTTTGACCCGAGAGGGGCGGGGGTGAGCAAGGAGACCGTGTGGATCCCGCGCAGGGGCGCGGGAGGTCGCGGGCCCGAGCCGCTGTGTCAGCTTGTCAACACTTACTGGTTTGCTAGGGTAGACATTGGACAGATGCGTTTTTAGTTTCCCCACGGTCCAGTTCAAAAAGCAGCTAATAGTCTGGTCCCTGTACTTCTGATTCGGTGCCTTAATGATGAGGGTCACAGGAATCTCCATCCCACTTTGGTCCATGGTGCCCCCAATGCCGAAAACAGTCAGGAGCAGCAGTGAAGAGCCCAAAGGAGCCGAGGTGGTTACTCCCAGCGCGACTGCGGTAGGTTCGGAAGCGAGCGGGTTCTCAATATTCCGTGTCCAAGTCAGTCACAAGTGCGTCGCGCGATACAAAGGCCATTGCCTGTACCGAGGATGACTGGCGGTGGCGGCACTGGAGTCTGGGGGCCCGGCCGCGGTGCAGTGTTCCCCGCCAGGTCCGGCCTCCGCTAGGCTCCACCGGACTGCGGGGGGCGGCGGGGAGAGAGAGAGAAATCGCTGAGAAGGGAGGAAGGGAAGAAGGGAAGGGGTGGGGGCGCCACGGCCCGAGTCACCGCCCCTGCCCCCCCCCCCGCCGCACCCCCAAGCTGAAACGCAACAAGGCCCCTACGCGACGGCTCCGCAGGGAGGGCAGGAAAAGGGGCCGGGCAGCTCTGAAGTACCTGAAAGGAGGCCGCGGGGCCCGCCGCCGCCCTCCGCGCCCAGGTAGGGCCGCCGCCCGCAGAGTCGGGCCGGGTGTCCTCCGCGGCGGCCGCTCTCTTCCTGCGGCACAGCAAGCGGCCACGGCCAGCCTCGGGTCTCGCGAGGCGGCGCGGTGGCCGCGGGGAAAGTTGGCCAGAGGGCGCGGCTCGCGGTCCGCCCGCTCCCTCGGGCGGGGCAAGCTCGGGGCGGGGCCGCGCGGCGGTGGGCCCGACACTGCCCGGGCGGCGGCAGGTGGCAGGAGGGCGGGGACTGGAGCGGAGGCGCCGGCCGACTGTTCGCCCGTTTTGTGGTGGTGGTTATTATTGTTGTTGTGAGCCGGGTTGGGGTCCCTTTAAGCCGGTGGACGCCGGGCGGAAGTGCGTCACGCGCAGCCCTCCGGAGGCGCGGCTCGGGCGACCCTGCAGACGAGAGCCGCGCTGGGGTTCCCCCTAGTACACTTTTCCGGGGTCCCTGGTCCCCGCAAGGCAGCAGGGGCCGATGAAGCGCACCTGGCCTCCACTCCCGCGGGCACTCAGGCCTCGCCACTAGCTAACTGGGCGTTAGCCTGTCCTTTTTGACCGCCCCCTGAGGATTTGGGAAGGTTCCTGCATCCTAAGAGTTGGCTCTGCCAAAGTCAGTACCCTTCCTGACGCTGAATCAAACTGCTGCTCAGAATTTCTGTAGATCGACTGTCTGCGAAACTCGGTACCAGCACCTTTGGCGCAGGAGAGACGTTGAGGGTACTTTGCATAAGGCACAAAGGCTTTCAGATAAACCTGCACCCCACCTCTGTGTGTCCTTACTGAACCTTTCTGAGCCCCAGTTTATTCTCGATGAAGATGGTGATGCCTGCCTAAAACCGTGCTGATGAGTCTATGAGCGATTTGTGGAATCTGGCAATCCCCTAAATACATGTTAATTTCCCTTTAGTCTTCACGAAGGTTGACACGAGAATCCTGCGTACCTGCTGTGGGTTCAGCACAGTGGTAGGTGAATAAGGATGGAAGTGTTATTTTTCTGTTTTTTATGGCTTAGACATAAGAAGGCAAAAGTTAAGTCTGCTGCCCAAAGCTGACTTCTCCCCATTTTTCTGCACCAAGCTGGGAGTGAGTACAGTAAGTTAAAGTTTGTTAGATGGGCATTTCCACAGCTCCAGGCTTCTGCTTAGAGGAGGATGCCAGCAGATAAACATAACGGACTTTGGGGAGCAGGTCCTTTCCCTCTCGGTTTTGTGAGCGTCAGTGAAGGTCAGCTACCACTGTGTTAGTGACCACGGGGAAGTTCGTCTCAGCAGCTCCTGCGGCAGGATCCTGCATGCCTCTCCTCCTTAACCTGGTTCTTTGGGGTAAGACACCCACCACTGTAACAGCCATACATACTCTCGCAATGCTCTTCTGAAGTAAGGGGAAGTCCCCTTCATTTCTTTTGTAGAAGAAGGGCAGCTTGCTCAGGTTTTCTGTAGCAGCAATCTGCTCTTTTCCCACCTAGTGTCTAGTCATCCTAATGGAACCTTTGTTCTAGCTAAAAAAAAAAAAAATGCTGTTCTAGACTCCCTTAGGTTTAAGGGCAGCCATTTGACACAATGCTAGCCAATTAGGAGAAAGTTGATGTCGTTCCTGGGCCTTCTGGGAAGGCTTTTAGATGGACACGCAGATCATGCACGTCCTTGCCCTACACCTGCCTTTCTTCCTGGAAGAACGGAGGTGCGGCGGCTGTAGTTGTCATAAGCAACAAACGAAGAGCAAAGACCTCTATTCCAAAAATGTCAGAGCATCCCAGATGCTGGATCCTCCACTGCAACATCCGTCACCATATAAGTCCCAAACTGTAACCTCTACTTTTTTCCCCCTAATTCCTGTTAAAGCCAAGAAATCTCCACAACCACGCAAACCTTCAGATCTTGTCACTTATGGTCGTGACTCAGACTTCCAGAAATCCTTTAGGGACATGGGGTCCTCTCACTTGGGACAGTGAAATGGATACTATTAATGTTAATTAGTAATTATTAATAATTAATTGGTAATTACTAATATCATCAGGATGTTATTACTGTTAATTAGTAATACTAATAATCAATTTGTAATTATTAATATTAAAATGATGTGCACTTCACTATGAGAAGCACTATTTAAAGCAGATTCCATCAAAAGTTCACAAGCATGTACAAAAATATTTTTAAATGTAATGAACATGAAAGAGTTTGAAATATATGGATATAAAAATTATATGGAGTCTGAAAAATTATTTTTTTTACTTTAAAACCACTTGAATTAAGTACCTAAAAATTCTTTTGATGCTATTGAACTTGGCAAAGATAAAAACAGTACATAAATATGATCCCATTTTTTGGTTAAATTTTATATATATATATATATATATAAAAGTAATCCCCAGAATACTGATAGTATTTAACTTGGAATTTGGGGTAGGAAAAATACACAGCATTGAGAGAATGCAAGATAGCAGGTACTGCCATGACCAGTGTAGCTTGGTTGGGCATCATCCTGCAAAGTGAAAAGTGGCCACTTCAATTCCCAGTCAGGGCACATTCCTGAGTTGCAGGTTCCGTCTTGATCAAGGTGCATGTGAGAGGCAACCAGTTGATGTTTCCTTCTCACATCAATGTTCCTCCCCCTTTCTCCCTGCCTTCCCTGCTCTCTAAAAATAAATTTTAAAAAATTTAACTATAGCAATTACTCAAAGGCCACTATGAGCCTTGAGCTGCCTATTTAAATCATTGTACATCACAGATAAGAAGTGGAAATTTCAATTGCACATCTCAGTTACCATTTGTCACCTAAGTACAGTCTGTAATGAGAATGCTAAAGAGTAAGGCGCTAATAGATAATAAAGCACTTGTGGTTGCTAAGACTAAATCTACCAATGTTAACTATTCAGTACCTGTAGTCTTAGTGGCTAGTTCAGGAATTCAGATCAATCTGGGTAGCTTTCTTTGTTAACAAAATAAAAATCTTTTTTAAATTCATAAATAATAAAAATTGATTTCTAGTATTTGTGGCATGTCTATTTACTTCCAATTATTTTAATCTTTGGGGTGGGAAGGACAGATAGAAATGCCTATATTGACTCACTCTGTTAGATTACAGTTTCTTTTAATATTTTAAAGAAAATAAAGTGCTCGATACTGAATTTTTCTTACCAAAGTTTAGAATAAACTTTCAGCAAGATAAAATACTTTATTGATGATGAATAATCTAGTTTGTGTTGTTTTGATTTTTGTCTCGTTTATGGTTTTGTTTTTGATAACTCTTGGGAGGAAAGACTTTAGTCAAGTGATGATCTTGCAGTTGCAAATTTCAAAGATGATGTTGGCCATCTGGCTGCTGATTCCTTCTATTTCTACTCATACCAAACTTGCCTTTTCCTTAAAAAAAATGCTGTGCCACAAAGCATCTAATCAAATATTAATCAAGTTGATTGTTGACAAACAAATGAAATCCTACACTTGAAGCCTAGGAAAATTAGCTCATTTCAACATTGCACTCTCAAACTCGTAATTAGTCACAGATGTTTGATTATAAACCATGTCGTGGAAAATGGAAGGAAGAAAACCACATTTGGATCACATGGCAAATGGGAAATTTGAGTGAGTGTCATTGAATGAATCGTCAGAACAGCCCTGAAAGGTAATAAGGACAGTGAAGCTTGGAAATGCTGAGTCTCTTGCTTCAGGTCACACAGCTTGTAGCTTCTAAGTGGAGTTCTGACTCCTCTATAATGCACACACTTCCCACTACACCGAAGTTTCTTATTTAAAGATATTCATGCATAAGAAGACATGCAAGAGGAAAAGGCTCTCGGGAATAACATCTCAAGAGGGCCTCTAGATCAAGTACCTAGCAGTGCCAGAGTCCCTGCCACCACCTCTGAAGGGCAATCAGCCAACTTTGAATTCAACCATTCCAAGAAGAGGGAGCCACCCTAGTTTTCACTACAGCTCAGCCTGTTGTGAGACAGCTGAGGTTATTATAAGTGGATTAGAATCTGCATTCCTGTAATTTCTCATTAAGCCACTTTTCTTCTCTTGATCAACTCAAAATATGACTCATTCCACATGCTAGCCCTTCAAATGTGTAACTATTAAGTCTCTCCCTATGTCTTCTCCAAACTGAACAGCCCCAGACCCTTCAACCGTCCTCAGAAATAGTCTCCAGATCCCTCAGAATTCCAACATGCCTATGCACACAGTATTTTGTATCTCCTTCATCAATTATGGTAAGCATGATGAACATTTAGACGTGTTGTGACTTCTCTAGAATAGTCTTCATAAGGATGCACCTGTTATTTCTGTTAATTTCTACAGCAGTAGAAATCTTCATGTGCTGGTTTAGCCGTTGGATCTCCTGCTTTTCAGAAACAACACATCTAGTTAGCACTAGAGTGACCATTTGGCTAACACAGAAGTCTGTTCTTTCTCTCATGATTCAATCTAATGACTTGTTTATGATACTCAAAGAAAATTCTAGATAAATAACTATACTGACTTCTCTAGGTTACCAGAGAAGCAGGACAAGGGGCCAACCCTTTAGAGAATTTTGACCTAAGAAGATACAGTAGTTGTGTGTTGCTGCAAAACAAATTACCCCACAACCGCGGGTCAGGATACTGGGAGCAGCTTAGACAACAGTTCTGGTTTGAGTCTCTTGTGACATTGCAATCAAGATTGCAGATGGCATTCGGTGACATGAAGGCTTGACTGGGACCAGAGGCTCTGCTTGCAAGGTGGCTCTCCCACGAGGCTGGCAAGTCGGCTGGTTGTTGGTGGGAAGTCTCAGTTCCTCCCCATGAGGATCTCTCCACATGAGAGCTACCCCCAGTGCAAGATGCGGGCATTGCTATTAATGAAACTGCCATCTGCGGTTGGTGGTGATGACATGCCAACCAAAGCAAGGGGTTGCCCAAGTGGTTGCTGCACTTGACCGCTGCAGCAGTTACGATGTGTGTAAGGGCAGTGGTATGAGACAGATGCTCCTGAGAGTACCTTGTCATTTACAGAAGGAAAATGTCAAGCTCATGTCTTTGACTCTCAGCTTAAAGTAACAGTCTAAGGCCCAGTGCTTCCCTGAGAGCTGTAAAAGGATCGCTTGTTCTTGCACAGAATTCTAATTTAAGGATTGCTGAATTATAGCAATAGTTGAATTCATAGTCCCATCCCATTTCCATAGGACTCTTAGAGTATGGCATGGGAAAGACCTGGGTCCTGAACATTGGAATGGGGACATCTGCTTAGACCCAGATGAAGGGGACAATCTTGAAACAAGTGACTCTAAGCCTCCTCTGTTAGTGAATGTAGCTGGCCC